TGTAGAGCATATCCAAGGTACTGTATTCGTCGGTCAAGGCCACAGGTTAAAATGCGGGAAATCATAGAACACTCAGTGATAAGTCAAACAGATATGTTTATCTTGACTCTTACTCTGTGTCAGGAACTCTGACTGAGGACAGTAAGCAGTTTGGGGGATGATCTGGAGTAAGGTTGGGCCAGACAGAGATGCTACTGCAGACAGAATTCAAGTGCAAGATTCTGCATCAGGAATGAAAAACAAAGCAAAGATTCTCAAGGCAAAGTGCAAGCAGAAAAGCACTTTGAAATGATGTGGGAGAAGCAGGGAGAAGCCAGAATAAGCAATGGGGTGAAATATTATTAATTTGCAAATAAACTAATGAAATAATAGTGTTGGTTATCAAAAAGGAGACCTCTCCTTCCTTCCAGCATATTTTTTTTTAAGATTTATTTATTCATTTATTCATACAGAACTGGGGTACAGGCCAGAGGTACAGGAGCGGTGAGAGGATTCACTAGAGCAGGGAGCAGTACAGGCAGATCTAGATAGTACACTGCTGAGGAGAGCAGTGGCCAGGTCAGGAGAGGTCTGCTGCACCATGTGGTCACCTCCCAGGCGTGGCAGGGATCGAACTCAGGCTGAAGTGGCTTTAGCTTCTTAGAGCTGTGCTTTAACTGGCTGTGCCATCAGGAGGGCCCCCTTCCAGCATTTTTTTTAAAGATTTATTTATTTATTCATACAGAACTGGGGTACAGGCCAGAGATGCAGAGGGTGAGAGGATTCACCAGAGACAGACTGGGGAGCAGAACAGGCAGATGGACGAAGTACACTGCTGAGGGGAGCAGCGGGCTGGTTAGGAGAGGTCTGCCATGCCATGTGGATCTCCTCTGGGGCAGGCAGGGAGGGGAGCAGCGGGCTGGTTAGGAGAGGTCTGCCATGCCATGTGGATCTCCTCTGGGGCAGGCAGGGATCGAACTCATGCGGAAGTAGCTTTTGATTTTTTTTTTTTATATTAAAAAGTTTATTTTAACATCATTTTTCACATTTTTTTTTCATCTCAATTGTAATCCCCATGGGTTTCCCATCACCAAATCACCCCTGTGCCACCACCATAGTCCCGTGCATTTTCCTCCCTTCCCCCCCCCCCCGTTTTTGATCCCATTCCCCACTCCACCCCCACAGAATGTCTCTGGTCTATGGTTGTTCATTATTTTTGTTATTTTCTCGCCTGGTCCATTATACTCCTGCTATGAGTGAAACCATCCGGTATTTTTCTTTCTCTTTCTGGCTTATCTCACTCAGCATGATCTTTTCCAGCTCCATCCAAGTTGCTGCAAAAGACATGTGTTTCTCTTTTTTGGTTGCTGAGTAATATTCCATTGTATATATGTACCACATCTTTCTAATTCAGTCATCTACTTTTGGGCATTTGGGCTGCTTCCATGTTTTTCCAATTGTAAATAAAGCAGCAATAAACATGGGGGTACAAGTATCTTTTTCAATCAGTGTTTTTGTGTCTTTTGGGTAGATACCTAGGAGTGGGATTGCTGGGTCATAGGGAAGCTCCATGTTTAGCAGTTTGAGGAACCTCCAAACAGTTTTCCATAGTGGTTGTACTAGTTTGCATTCCCACCAGCAATGCAGGAGAGTTCCTTTTTCTCCACATCCTCGCCAACATTTGTTGTTGCTAGTTGTTTGAAGATGTGCCATTCTCACTGGGGTGAGGTGGTATCTCATTGTGGTTTTAATTTGCATCTCCCTTATTACGAGTGATTTTTAATACAGTGCTTTAACCCACTGTGCCACCAGGGAGGGCCCATCTTCCGGCATATTTTAACGTTCAATACAACATTGGACTTTGTGGTTGCCGAACTCCACCACCTTAGGCATTGTCCTAGCCCTTTCTAATCAAAAAGTGGGGCTTCATTTTCATACTTGATAGAGACCAGCAGATTCATGGAATGTTAGTGGACACAGAGCCAGAGGACCACGCTGCCTGACTAATATATTTCTATTTCAAAGAATTACACTTCATTAAGATCGTTTCCTTATTTTTAAGTTCATCATTATTGCTGTCACAGAGGATGCAGTATGAAAATTAAGAAAGGTAGTGTATTTGAAGCGTCCTTGAAAATTGTGAAGCATCACCCAAACATTTCTTACATTTCTAAAATTTGTTTAAAGTGGCTTAAGATTTCTTGTCATTTGTTGTTTTCAAGTAAAGCCACTAGAGGTCAGAATTTCACATAAGTTGTTAAAGAAAGTGCTCAGGCAGGGGAAAAAAAGATTTTCCCACAGCATCAAATAATAAACTAAAGGCATAGAAAGAAAAATAATGGTGAACAAAGCAGTTTTGACAACTGGAACAATGCTTATTTTCAGAATTGTTACTCAACAGTCAGGGAAAGGAAGGACATTTGAATAGTTGTGTTAAATATTGGTCTATACAACACAGTTTATGTTGATTACCTTATATTATCTTAAAGCAGATTCTATAACGAAGGCCCATTTTGTAAATGATGAAATCAAAGCACAAATAAATGGACCCACACCCTGAAGGCCAAAGTGACTGAACCCAGTGACTGTCTTTGCCCTAAGTTGTGATGACAAAATAATAAGGCATAAAGGTGCTTCCATATTGGACAAGATGTTTTATGAAAATTAGTATGACTGATTTTCAGTACACCTGAAACTCTCAATAATTTATTTAGACCTGGTTTCTCAAGTAAATTTAGTGAAAATTTCTTCTGATTTTTAGTTTCTCGGAGTATCTAGAAGTTTCTTAGCACAATACTAATCCATATAGTATTGAGGTGATGAGCTATGGAGAAATACATAGACTGAATTGATGTGAGGGAAATTAGCCATCGAACAGAAGCAACAAGCCAGTCCAAACTTAATGTTGAATAATCATCAAATTTTTCTTTTTTTCATTGTATTGCGCTAAATAGATAAAGTTGCCTTTTGGGGGGCCGGGAGGTGAGGAGAAACCTTCACTGTGTTAATGAAGGGGAGAGGTGTGGTAGTGGCAGTTCATATCTGGAGAGAAGGTGAAAGCCTTGTCTTATTTTTTATATTCGCTCTTCGTGGAACTCGGTGCCTGCAGAAGTGATAGGCAGTGATAAATAGGCTGCTTTGCTCTGTGTGCCGGGGGAAGGCGATTCAGAGACAAAAGTCAGATGGCTGGGCCCTGACCCCACTTGATGGTACGGCTCAGCTCGAAGTGCAGACACACCCAGAGCAAGTTCTTCCTGGGTTGGGAAGCTTTGGCATCTCACATGATACCCGAGACTTAGTAAGTATTCAGACATTCCAGAATCGTGTAATCTGTCTAAACAAGGAAGGAACTTAGTACCCTTTTGCCCCAGGTTCTAGGGCAAGAAGTCAGTTCTAGAGGCCTCTTTAAAGCTCTGTTCCCCAGAGGCACTGACTGTTCTGTATCACTTATGACATCGAATCATTTCATACTTTATACACAGGCTCAGCGCAAAGTTAAAGAGGCTTCTTGTTGAAATCTCAGTAGGGGAAAGGAGAAACTTTGTTAGGTAAAGAAATGATAGGGGAGTCCTGGTGGAAACATCCTCCACATGTTAACTGCTTTCTGCTCTCCCTCCTTGCCCTTTCTCCGTGCCCATGACATTAATATATATTAGTTATGCATCTCTTATGACTCAAACAGGGCCTGGCGTTTAGGAGGTATTCAATATATGTTGGCTAAATTAGAATAGAATTGCTGAATTGGAATGCATTATATTGTGCACATTATTATGCCAACATTTTGTTCCAGGCTGCCAGTTTGAGCATTACAATTTCTCTGCAAAGAAAGTTGCTTAATGGTGTTACACCAAATGGATTCTCCCATGCAGGGACAAGGAAAACTTGAATTTTCAGCATTCTCCATTATACTCCAGGAGTAATGTAAAGTTTTGTATACTCCATGGAAAACCCAGAAATGGTTTTACGTAAATACATTATTTCTAATCGAAACTTTCCTTTCTGAACATTGCCCTCACTTTATTCATTTATTCACCCAAGAAATTATTTAAAAGCCCCAAGGTCTCATTGTCCCTCCCTGCATTTATTTTATGGTATCAAAGGTTAGAACTTAGATTGCAATCTTAGGAAGAAATTAATTCACTGATTAAGAAACATGCACTTTAAGCAATACACATTTAAATAACTGACAAGTGTAGGGCGATGTATTTCTGCTTTTTTTGAAAGATCCTTTTTGCTACTTAAAATTTTAAACAGCTGCAATTCTTCCACCCTCTAGCCTCCAGAAACATCATATGAATTACTAATGAGGGAGTACCAGTTTGCACTGCAGTGACCACTTTTAGAACAAAAGGGTCAGAGCAGAAACCAGGAAAACAGCAGCATTTTTTATCAACCCGTTGCTTGAAGCACTTTTGGTCCTTGGCTCTACTTGAAAAATTTTGCAAAATTCTATCATCCTTCAGCTGAAGGCACTTGGCCCCAAAGACTCCACTCTCAAATACAGAAACATTCTTTTATATACTACTGCTAATCCTTGACAAATTTTTTCCTCTTTGTTGGAACTCACCAGCCCATTAAATTTATGAAATATGCAGATGATTTCATCTTTCCTTTACTAAACTTTTGTCTAATTGTCTTACCAGAATCAGCATGAAAAGCCTTGGGAAAAAATCCCCCCAACTACAAATGCTCTTAAGAAAGGATTCCCTAAGACGAATGCTTTGCTTGGGTTTCTTTCCTTGGAATAGCATGAAAGAGGGAATCCCCCCCATGCTCTGGGCGATTTCCAACACATCCCTGGCCAGGCTCTTTCCCCTCTGAATGTTCCCCTACCTAGAATCCAGGAAAGTTTCAAAATATGTGATAAGCTGTTGATTTTCTAAAATAAAAGGCAGATGGGAGGGGGGACTAGTGAAGAGAGAAGAAAATGAGTAAGAGCTGACATGGAGTTGACAGATGGAGGAATAATATAAGAGAACTTACTTATTAGATATGGAAATCTTTTTTTTTCCTTTCCTCACCTTTGGGTCCTGGTGAAATTGTGTGTGTGGCACAGACTTCAGTGGCAGGACGACTATCGATGTCCAGACCAAGACTCTGAATTTGCAAAAGAAAAAGCACGAGGAGGATGAACTGGTTTCTTCTAAGTAGGGCTCCAAAGTCGCTCATTGCCGTGGTTCTTCAAAAAGAGTCACCCAGAGTGCCACACAAACAGCTTTATTTTAAACAAAACCTTCTGCTTTCAGGAAGAAAGTGAAATATCGGATGCACACATTCCAGAAAGGCCTTCAAAGACAAGAAGGAAACACAGCCTCATTGTTTATTTTTTCAATATTCCAAATGGATCATACATTGTCCAGACTGTTTATTTTCAAGTGACAACAGTTTATTGAAAATTATCTCTGAACTAAACACTCAAGTGTGCAGGCCAGTAGGGACATCTCAGGGAATGCAGAGGCTAGAGCAGTCTTCTGCTCGGTACATGAATTGACAATTTAATGCTCCATATTGCACTTAAAAATTGGGCTCCAGAAAGGGTGAGCAGAGACTTCCTGAATGACCTCCATGTTGTCTAAACACTATGCGTGGCTCTGACACTTCTATTAAGTACATTTTCATGGCCCTGTGACAGTCGGACCCTGATGCACCCACTGATATTCATTTTGTCCTGTTGCTACAAAAATAATCTAGGGATTTAACCAAAAGGACAGAAGACCAACTCTTCTGCTAAGAAATTTGTTAATAAGTATCAAGTATATTAAAAGTGTATATAGCCTTTATCCTAATAATTGACCCACATGGCATGTCAGACCTCTCCTGACCCAACTGCTGCTCCCCTCAGCAATGTATTTCAGTAGATCTGCTTGTTCTGCTCCCCACTCTGTCTCTGGTGAATCTTCTCACTGCCCCTGCACCTCTGGCTTGTACTTCAATTCTGTATACATAAATACATCCTTAAAAAAACACATAAAATCTAGGCTATAAACATACATATATACATAAAAGGAAGTAGACATCACCCTGCATTTATCTATACATACATTTATGCATCCACCTTCCATCTGCCTGTCTACCTTTCTGTTCCATTGACCTATGACGTGAATGAATAGTTTAGGCTTAGTAAGACATAGAAAAGCCAAAACTAGAATTTCATACAGCTAAATAAAGAGGCAGGTTGACTAAGACTGGACCACAAGAGTTTTTGGCTTACTTTCCTTGAAATTGATTATGATTCTTTTATTAACTATTTTTTTTTCTGACATTGTTGTAGTCTCCATCATTCTCCTGTTACCCTATCATTTGAGAACCATCACCAAATTTCCTTAGAGATTCTGAAAAAGACAATAAAGAGGCATCTCTAAGAGGGATTACCAGTAATAAGCAATGTAAGAAATACAGGTGTATCCATTTCATAGGGTAATAAAGTGCTCTAAATGGAGTGGCTTAAACAACAAAAGTTTGTTGTATCATATCACAGTTCTGAAGGCTAGAAGTGTGACTGCAAGATTTTGGCCTTTTGAAGGCCACAATCCTTCTGAAGGTGCTAGTTCTGATAGTTTAACTTCTGGTAGTTTCTTTGCTTGTGACAACAAACCTCCAATCTTCCCAAGGAGTTTTCCTGGATGTGTGTCTCTGTGTTCACATTTCTCACTTTTTATAATCACATAATCCTATTTGAGTCGGGACCTCAGTTTAACTCAACTGATTCTGGAGACACTATTTTCAAATACATTTACATTATGGGGTTAGGACTCCAACCTGTGAATTTCGGACTCTGAGGTACGACTCAGCTTATAACAATAGGCTGACAGTATAAGTGAGCTGAAATTTGCTAAGAAAACCAGGGAGTGTGGGGAAAGGAACTGGCATTTGTTCAGTAGTCCCTGGTAAGGCTAAGGATGGTCTCTTAAGTATATCTTATTCAGACTTAAAACTACTTTGTGCAATAAATAGTAGACACTTGATTTTGGAGAGAAATTACCAAGATTTTAAAAGTTTACTTGAGGTCATTGTAATGTTTAATTTTATGTGTCAACTTGACTTGATCATGGCACCAGATATTTGATACCTTATTTCTGGGCATATCTGTTTCAGATAAGATGACTCTGTAGACTGAGTAAAGCAGATGTCCCTTCCCAGTATTGGTGAGCTCTGTCCCATCTGCCAATATCCTGGAAAAAAAAAAAAGGTGGCAGGAGGAAGAATGTTTTCTGCTTGAATTGGACTTCAGTCTGATGCATTAGGATTGTGACTTATAGCATCACCTGCCTTGCTTCTTGGGCCTCTTTATGCTGGACTGAACTTGTACCACTGCTCCCTAAGCCTCCAGCCTTTCAGCTTGTACTGAAATATGTGATCAGTCTCCCCAGGCCTCCTTCCCAGTTTGTGGATGGCAAATCATGGGACTTCTCTACCTCCAGAATGGTGGAGCCAAGTCCCTAGAATAAATCTCTAGATAGATAGATAGATAGATGATAGATAGATAGATAGGTATAGATAGAAAGATACATAGATAAATAGGTAGAAACACTGATACAGACGTGTCCTGTAGATTCTGTGTCCTTGAAGAACTCTGACTAATGACCATCCACTGAAAAAGGAACCAAAGAAATCTGAATGTAAGTGATTTCTAAAAATTCCTCCTGTGCAGTGCTACTTGGTTCCTACAAAAGTGAATATTCTCCAGCTCTGAGGATGCATTAATTTTCACACAAGTTTAAAATGTCCAAGTGGATGCATTTGTCAGGTTAACTGTGACAGGGAAATAGTGGGAATTAATAGAATGGTGTTAGAAGCTGCAAATTTCACATCTGTCATAACCAGGTATATGACAGAGAGAAAAATCACTCAACTTCAATTGCCACGGGCATATAAAGTGAATCTGGACTTGATATTTAATGTACTTTCTGAGTCTTATGATTTTTTGAAAATACTTGTTTTTGTAAATTGTTTAGATTACTCTAAATCTATTTTACTTTCTTCACTTATTTTTCAGGCAGTTCCTGGCACACAATGAAAATAGATTCATGACATTTATATGTGGAAATTCACAGGTAACAGTTTGAAGCAAATAATAGTCCATAATATTTTTCTTTGGATATCCCATTGTTCTTTCCAAGCTTTCTTTTAAAACTCAGCAATGTATATAAATATTTTTCTAAATTAATGATAGATTATTCCACCAAGATTTAATTATTGTGGAATAGTAATCGCATATTTTAGATGTCAAACATAATGCTCTATTGCAAATTTTAAATTATTAATGTAACTAACACCCTGATGAACACGTCAGATCTCTATCTCTGTACCTATTTTATTTGGCCATTAAATAAAGAAAAATATTTATGGCTTGGTAACTCATTAATTGTTGAGGACAAGTATGGAGGAATTTTAAACACCACATTGCTTTAGTAAACACATTGCATTCCTCCTTCTTAGGCTCTCCATCTTTGCTTTTATTTTCAACTGGATTGGAAATTTGGGGAGCTTATGAATAGGTAGATATTTAAAAAAGAGGACTTTCAGAGATCAGAAACAATGGCTCTATTTGCCCAATATATTTGCCCTACATTTATGATGAAATGTAATCTTTTCACAAAGAAATGTAATCTTAAAAATCACTTGGTAGCTTCAATTTGAATGACTAGGAAAACTCTACTGCCACTGAGAAGACCTGGCTAAAGACAGCACAAGCTTTGAAGGAACATAATAAGGATAGTTGAGTTTAAGGCTTAGCGAAACAACAGGAGGGAGATTACAGGCTGGCAGTTTGGAATGTGGGTCTTAATTTTAGGGGATGACCTAGAATTTGAGATTTCAATTTGAGAATCATAGGTAGGGCGATTATAGATGAAAATCAAAGGTTGAGTAAAAAGAAGCCTGAATATTGAAAGAGTATAAATATTGAAAGTCTATAATCAGTGTGTACAAGGAAAAGGATGAGGTAGCAAGTAGTTCAGATGATTGAATAAATGAAATGAATGGTTAAATTATGTTAAATGTAGAGATGGAATTTTTGCAATCCCAAACCCAGGAACACCCAGAGTCAGTGAAGCTGGAAGAGGCAAAGAGGACTTTCCCATGCAGCTTCAGAAGGAGCTCAGTTCTGCTACCACATTGATTTTGTACTTTTGATCTTCAGTGTTGTGATATAATAAATACCTGTCGTTTTAAGCCATTTACTAAATTTATGGTTTTTTTTTTTTTTTTACAGCAGGCTTAAGAACGTATACACTATTCTTGTGATAGTTACTCCTGGTTGCTGGAAGGAATGATGCATCAAAACATTTACTCAGTGCATGACAGAGACAGAGCAACATCTGTTCTTGTGAATTTTAATTATTGTGCATCCAGTTTAGGTGATATCTGGAGGGAAATAAAACACAGGAAATGAAACTAGCACATCCTGGAACAGGAGTGTTTTACTAGTTAAAACAGGGTGGTAACAAAATGACAATTTCATTTCCTGATGGAATTTTCCCAACAAATTGATATAATACACCTTTGCGCTTCCTTTTGGCTTTGTCCATAGGCAAATACATTATTGGAGTCAGTCTTTCTTTTGAGTAAACTTAACAATGTAGCTCATAATAAATGTAAATTAGTGTGGTTTTCAAAATTAGAAAAAAGACATGCTAACAGATACTTTCATAAAATTATTTTATTTCTGGCATTTTAAATTTATCAAGGATATTTAAAAACAAGCAAATGATTTTATTTGATTTATGATATTAAGTATATAAATCCTGCTGTTCCTACCCCCATTGACAATTCATATACCCATTAGGAAACTATTTTAATAGTCTTAGAGCTTCTTCTTTCTCTCTTCCTTATTTTTAAATAACAGGCTTATTCTAATGTTCTTGATTTCTATTTTTTCAATTTTGATACTCATTGGTTTCTCAGTGTGGAAGATTAAGAGTATTTTCACCCTCATTTCCAGCTCTATATGCCTCTCCACCTACATTTCCTTTCATCTTTGTAATTTAATAATATCATTTTTATAAACAGCCAGTTTTTAGATTAAAATGACTGTAGCAATTATTCATCACTGAGTCACACAGCACATTATAACATTTTGTCTCTTGTTCTGTTCTAATTTTGTTTACACAAGACTGAATAATTGTGTTGTTTTTGTTTGCATAGCTTTCTATGTACCAATCTGATTA